GCAAACACAGCATATTAATAGACAGGAGGCGGGTGAAGGCTGCAGTTGTTGGAAATAGTTTAGTTCGACTTGTGGTTTTGTTTCATTCATAAGCTGCGGCTCAGTTTCAAAACTAAACTAGAATGTCACTCAGTAGAGCTCACACCTCCCCTAGTCTCAACAACCTCCATATGAAACCACATTTATAAGATTTGTATATGTTTTTTTTCCATCAGGATACATGAATTATTCGAACTCACAATTTAAAAAGAAAAGTGGGGGAAAAAGTCCTGGATCTGCCTCTTGATTTTCTGTTATTTAGATTTTGCCTAAAATTAGTAAAGGACCAATTAGATGGACGCACAATATGCACATAAAAAAAATACTGGTTTTGCGACAGATTAATTTCACGTGTCAGCAGTAATTTGGCTGAATGGGGAGTTTATCATTAAGGGAAATCCCTGCAGTGATTCGGTTACAAGGGTTGAAAATATTGCCTCCCACTTAAATGACGCTGAGGTAGAATCTAAGTTCCGTAAAGTCTGTGTGTGCTAGAGATTGGTGGAGGGAGGGAGGGAAATAATTCTGGGTTTGATTCCACAAATAGCCCATTGGCATGAACAACAGGTCTAATGAAAGAAGACGACCACATGCCAGCTCACCAGACACACACTGATGCATCACATGCACACGTACATATGAGTTATTATACATTATATGAGCTTTAATATGTTTTGTGCTGCATCACATTCCTACTCCCAGAAACAGCAGAAAGTCCTATAGTGAATCACACGGGTCATTTAAATGCTGTGCTCTGCTTTACAATGACGGGAATGTGAGCTCCATGTTGAGATGTGTTTTCTTGTTTTCATCATTGACAGAAATAAGGTTCATAAAAATGCTGAACGTTGTCAGTATTCATCCGATGTGAAATTTCAAAGACACAGAAACAATTTCAAATGTTTGTTTGTCATTATGCCAGGAACACGGCAACAGCCTGTTTACATGGCTAAATAGAAACTGTAGAACTCAGCTGCCTGGCTTTAAACCACAGTAAATGGGTTGGAACACATCCTGGTTTTATTCTCTGTACACCAGCCTCCAGTATGTTTTAAAATTGATTTTAATCTTCCTTTAATTACGTACAGGGCACTTAAAGTTGAATTTGATGGTGTTCTCATGACTTTGTAACTTTGTTTTGAGAAGCACCATTAAGATATATTATATTATAAAGAGAAGAAATTATTTTGTCTAGAGAATCAAACACCACAAAGTAACTGGAATAGACTACAGAAACAAAGTTAAAAAAATGCAGAGGTGTAAATAATTTAGCTAATGGAGATGAAAAAAACTAAAACAGCATCTTGCAACAAATATTTAATTACGGGAAAGTTGGGATGTTGTAAAATCAAGTCACCTGTATTAGAAAGCAGAGGCAGTGATGTCTTTTACTCTGATGCTGGAGGAGTTGGTGCATTGCTCAGCATCATGCATCTAGTTGGTGCTTGAGGTAGTGATGTCAGTGACAAAATGACACTTGACAGCATCCATCACACGACCCTGTGTCTATCACGCCCCGAGCAAACATCTAACAGTAGAGATAGTTTCTTCATTTCTTATCAATATCTCATAACCTTGCAATGCCTGTGGCTTCTCAGACAAATGGAAGACATAAATGATGAAGCTCTTGCACGTTACAACTGATCTGTCTCAACACGAAAACAAGATCACTGCAGTCGTTTTGTCTCTTTGAATTTACTGGATGACAACACCTAGTAGACAGTGTGGGTGTAGAACTGAGGACAGACTAAGTCATTCACCCAAAATGTCACAATCATCTAAGCCCACCCAGCAAAAATGTGTTGAAAGTCAGAATTCAAAATTTCTTAAAGTGGCTAGATACAATATAATAATACAAGATCAGCATGGACCATTTAACCAATTATTGTCTTTAAAGCCTTTATTCAAATATTCACTGCTTTCATTGTTTTTATCTTTAATGTGTATGTGTGGTGTATTTGAAAAGTATTATACAAATAAATTAATTCCTTATTAAGTTAATAAGGCAACTCTTCTCAGTGTCCAAGTTTCTAAAACACAACAAAAAAATTTTTATTGCCCAAGAGAATGTTTGTTCTTCATACCTTACCTGAGGCCCAGCAGCAGTTCTGACACAATCTTGGTATGTTGCAAATGAGTTTTCATCCAATTCATACACAACATAGATGAGAACACTCACATCACTTTCTACTGAGAATATTAAATCTTTGAGTTGTCTGGTTAGTGTCGACGTCATTTCATCGGGCTCTTAGCTGCCTGTTAAACATTTTTAATTTCACCCATTTCTTGAAGACCTTTTACGTTTTTTCAGTATTGTGCTGGAAGTTGTATCATCTCATTTTGATAAACACCTTCTCTGAATTAGTGACTGCAAAAATCCTGGTTATACCAATAACCAAACGCACACAGTTGACATTTTGTCTTTACAATTTTTATTCACCTTTTATAAACAGGAAACAAACAGGAGGGCCTGTAAGACAAAAAAGTGTATAGGTAAGAGAAGGGAAATGAAAATAAATTGATACATTCACTTTGATGCAGTTGAAGTTGTTTTACCTCATGCCTTCTCTGCTGCTGCTGCTGCCGCCTCCTCATCTCCTCCCTTGGTGTTACGTGTGTAAATCAGCTGTGCTCTGTGTTTGGACACCAGCTTGATCATGCCTGGATGACAACACACAACGTTACCAGTTAGCATGATCTGATTTTCAACCACACATTTACATAAACTACGTAATCTGCTCAATTTACTGGATTTAGCCTGTGTCTGTGAAAATGTTTTATTTTATTTTTATCTTTTTACAAGAGGAAGTGCAAACATGGGCAATATCATCTTATTGACCATTACCTTAAGACACAGAAGAAAAACAAACAGTAATTTTGGCTTCAGTAAAGTATGGATGGAATGTTTCATGTTGCCACTGTAGCCTACCTGTAAATGACGAGGGGACAGTTCATTTATGTCAAAGCTGTGTGTGTGCAAATTAGTTTATGCTTTATATAAATTCATGCAGTCTAATGTAAAAGAAACAAAAAACTACAGGCATGTAAATGCTCAAGACATGATAAGAGTTCTACCTTCATTAAATATTTCAATTAAATCAAAGTGTCTGCTTGATATCCAGTGGGGTACAAGAGAGTACTACAATATTAACATGCTTTAATGTCTCTTTTGTACCATTTATTTCATCAATTCTCAATATTTTGGAGTGCAAGAAAATATTGTAGTAGTAGTGAGGGGATGTTGCAGCTGTGGATAAGTGTTGTGAACAGAATCACACTGCACATTATCTATAAACAGCACTGTCATTTAACAACAAATGATGCTGAAGAAAAAGGCATGGTACTTAGTTTGTAAACATTTATGTGTTAGGCACAGCCAGTGAGCCGTGCTGATGACTGTGGGTGAATTGATGGGATGACTTTAATGTTGCATGGCAATGCTATAGATGGCAGCTATCTGTACCTCTTTCCCATAAACAGAAGATGTGTATTCTGCTGGGCGACATTACTTGGAAGATTGAATAAAACCTTCAGCAATGTTCTCATTTACAATATCTAATCTCCTTTTCTGCAGATCCACTGGTTCAGGGCAATAAATCATTAATGATAAACACAGAGATCTTATTTTACATCTTTAAATAAAATACCATTAGTGTCCAAAATGGTGATGATCTGCAACATGTGCTACGCTGAATCCTTAAGAAACATGCAAACTAATTCCGTACTTAATGCATTACTGTTAAATCATTTGCAAGGGTTTTAAATATTGACCAGCTCATCATACATGACATGAACTGTCTGCTAGCTCCAAGGTAACAGATCATCAGAAGCCCTTTCTACTGGACCGCCCCAAAAATGTGAATGTTTACGAAACCATTTGCTGGATCCAACATGCACTGTTTGGACTATGAGCTAAAAGGTGAGGTTCACCTTTGGCAAGCAGTTCCTGGAGAGCGTTCCTGGCCAGAGAGCCGCGGATCTTCAGCCTCTCAGACACGACAGCGGGGGTGATGAGCTTGTAGTTGGGAACTTCTTTATACAACTTCTCATAGGTGGCCTTGTCGAAGAGCACAAGGTTGTTGAGCTTGTCCCTCACTTTTCCCTTGGACCACTTCTGCTCAAAAGTAAATAAAAAAGGGGTTCAATGTGTGTGGACTCAGGACCATGATTCAGGATACATAACTCTGTGGATCAGATCTAACCACTGTACCTTCTTCTTGGCTTTGCCTCCAGATTTGTTGACTGGGTCCTTGTCCTTCTTGGACTTCCCAGTGTCCTTCTTCTTGTCTTGTTTGGGAGGCTGAAATCAGAAGACAAAATACAGCCCATCACATTAAAGCTGCATGTGGGTCTCGCAGCACGTAAGGCTAGGGTTAGCTCTGGTGTTAGCTCTGCTGGCCGACATGGGGATGGACGAGTCTCTGTACTTAACGTTTAGAGCCTCGCTTTTAGCATGATTAAATACCGACAACTGTCGACAGATTCAGTACCAACGTAATGTTATTTAAATACACGTAGTTAATATTGAAGCGGAGCTATTAAGTGTTACTTTGCTCGACTCGCTGTCTGTAACCTCAGAGCAGTTTGAAAGCGTGGTGGAATTAGCAGGCACGCTAGCTAGCTAGCTAACTAACTAGCCTGCCACTAAATGCGTAAAAAACGCAACTAATAACTCAATAAACGCTCTTTATTCGGAACACAGACAAACACAGTCCATCCACCAGCTGTTCCGAATAATTATAGCACGAGTGGGATTTCAGAAAGACGAGTAATTTTCATTTAGTTTGGACAAAACGTGGAAAAACTGTCCTCACCATGTTTCCTCGTCAAGATGTCGGAGCGAAAGGAAGTTCACCCGTGCGAGTGCCCCTTAGACAACCCGTATATGCGGAAACGGGGTGAGGAATTCTGGGTATTTGAGTTCTCTTATTTATTTATGGTTTCTGTTGATTTTAGATGCAAAGATCAGATCATCAAACATCTGTGCGACTCCCACATCTGGACACAAACACTCTAAAAAGGTGAATCGGGTCACAAACGCAGCTCGTTTACACTTTTCCGGTGTTTTGACACCGCCGAGGTCACGTGACGGTGTTGTCAGCTGTGCGTCGCCAACATGGTGATCTTCAGTGTGTATGTGGTGAACAAGGCTGGAGGTTTAATTTACCAATACGACAACTATGTCCCGAGAGCGGAGGCTGAGAAGACCTTCAGCTTCCCGCTAGACCTGGTGCTCAAACACCACGATGAAAAAGTGATCGTGTCGTTCGGACAACGCGACGGAATCAGAGGTAAGCCTCGAAGCTAGCATTAGCATGTTAGCTCACGTCAGCTGCTAGCTGCTACTGTGTGCTGAAGGTCTGGAAAACACTGCAAATGTGGTAAAGTAATGAACCAGTTGTCTTCGTTAAGTGCGTTATAACACACATTTGAGTCGCTTCTTAAAGACTGACTGTGTGAGCCTTCATTTAGCATTTAAAAAAACTCAACCTCCTTAGCATGTTGTGTGGTGTTTTTCATCTTTGTGCTGCATGACACAGTCATATGTTCATCTGTTAACAGTGTCATGATGTCTGTTTGTGTTTGATTCCTGGTTTCCTGCCCCAGTGGGACACGCAGTGCTGTCCATCAATGGAGTGGATGTGATTGGGAAGAACACAGGAGAAGGGAAGGACATCCTCGAGTACTTGAAAGATCCCTCAAACTATCCTGTGTCTATTCGCTTTGGACGCGCACGCCTGAGCTCCAATGAGAAGCTGATGCTAGCGTCCATGTTTCACTCGTAAGTTTCACATTTACCCTGAGGGTGGAGGATGGTGTAGTGGAGATAGATTTATGTCACCGTGATGACAATCTGAACAAACAGCACTTATGAGCTACATGGATCTTCTTCTGTTCTAACAGTCTGGTTTAAAGTGAACAAATGTGAGAGCTGCAGGTCTGATGTGTTTCAGAAATCAACGCCCCCGTTTTGTTTATTTCCTCAGGTTGTTTGCTATAGGTTCACAGCTGTCTCCAGATGTTGGCAGCTCAGGGATCGAGATGTTAGAAACAGACGTCTTCAAACTCCACTGCTTCCAGACTCTCACAGGTGAGTGCTTGCTCACTGTGTCATTACCACATGTAGAATAAAGACCAGTAAAATAGTGCATAGTTTTTGTAACTTTGTAATGACATGCAACTGACATCTACCTCACCTTCTGTTCCGTCTCTGTTCTCTCAGGGATAAAGTTCATTGTGCTGGCTGACCCTCGACAATCTGGTATTGATGCACTGTTGAGGAAGATTTATGAAATCTATTCAGATTTTGCCCTCAAGAACCCGTTTTACTCTCTGGAAATGCCAATAAGGTAATAACATGGGAAGATAATGTTTCCCTCCACTTTGCTGTGTTGTTATGTGTCTTAGGCTACATCCACACTACTACATTTTAGTTTTAAAATGCATCACTGTTGCTCAGTGTACAGCAGCCATCTACACTAGTCTTGAGTTTTTAAGCACCAACAATTGAGAAGTTTGGAAATGCTGCTTTTTAGTTTGAAAACTTTAGGGGAACATTATAATATGGAAGGATGGAGAAGTTTGGAGTCAATGAAGGCAGTAACTGTTCCACCTCATCATCTTAGAAAAGAAATCTCTGCTCTTGCAGAGTTGACAATCTGTTTCCTCAGCACACACACGACCAGTAAATATGAATGGTTTCATGTGTGTTCAGGTTTTAGTATTGCATGGGGATTATTACTGTTGCAAATTGTTAGTTTTCTAACACCATTTTAAAATGAAAACACATCAGTATGGATGTAGTAAAGATACTAATAATGCCCACTAAATTTCTGTTGACTTATAGTGTCTCTAACACATCCCTGCGCCTGTGTCACTGTGAATCTGTGTGATTTTCAGGTGTGAACTCTTTGATCAGAACCTGAAGGGCGCGCTGGAGATCGCAGAGAAAGCCGGCAACTTCGGAGCTGGATCTTGAGGCAGGGAGGAATAACAAGAAACAACATGAATCTCCCTGAACGATTGTTTCACGATCACGATTTCTACGACTGAGGACCTTGTTGAGGAAAATGAAGTGGATTCTCTTGGGATGTGACACATTGTAAATACTAGATGTTTTGTAAATACTTGAAAAGATTAAACCCACTTGTGTTAATATTTAGTCTGTTTTTGTTTGCATGTATTTCTGTGATGAATCCACTGAGCATAAATGAAAGAAGATAATTGACTGAAAAAGTATCATTTATTCAAGCCTTTGTGTAAATATTGTGTCTTAATTCTTTCATGATTAATTATTACAATGTTAAAAAAAACACAAATATTTTGTATAACACACGTTAATAATACGTTTCTGATCTAGGTTTCAGTTTTGTCCTCTGGGCTCTGTGATGCAACAGTGACCTCAGGAGAGGAAACCTACCTGTAGTTGTGTCCTCACCACATTTCATTGCATGACATACATAATCTGTAGTCACTTAAATTCACTTGTTGACTTTACTGATGCAATGTTTACAGATTGTAAACAGTAAATGTCAATAAGCATCTTGCAAAACACCGAGAAAAAAATCCTCATCTTTGATGAGTTACATTTACACCTGTGTTATATGACTGAAAAAATACAGAGGTATAAAAAAATCAAGTAAGAAAAATATTCTAAGACGATGTTGCCTCAAAATATGCAGTTTTCCTCTGGATGCAGAGGATGAGGTGTAATGGTGTTTTAATCGGCCTTCTTGGACATGTTCCCCATCTTGGTCCGGGTGTTGCGAAGAAGGAAGAATCCAACAGCGGTGACGCCACAGGCGATCTCTGCTACCCAGAAAGCCATTTCCCAGCCGTGGTGCTTGGCGATCGTGCTGAATGGAAGTCCGGACAGGAAGCCACCAACTGAGGAGAACACAAACGGATCTGTTCACTCCCAAAGATGACAGAGAATGAAAACTGTAGAGCATATTCTCCTGCACTGTTGTGACTGTGAGGTTTAGATTCAGTGGCCCTGAATTTCAAATCACAAAATGCAACAAATAAAAGACAATAGCAAATAAAACGACGAATAAGAAAACACAACATCTAATCACTGAACACATTTTATCCAAATTTCCTTCCTGTTTAAAAGATGGGCAGTGCATCCGTCCAATCAGTGACAAGCCTTGTCAATATGAGATACTTTCCTTGTCTGTTATAGGTTGAGTTTAGAAATTTGTTGTTGTGTTTTGGAACTAGCAAGAGTAAAAAGGATTAATTGAAAGATAATGGTATGTCATTGTATTATTAGCATTGTTAGGGTGAGTGTTGCTAACAAACACTTAGCAACATCTTATGCAGGCTCCACATGAATAACTGTCTCGAAAACCAATAAACTTACTGTTGGCCATCAAGGCGACGATGGCATGTGACGTCCCACAGTAGTTGGATGGGGCGCTCTCATTGGCTATAACTCCAAACAATGCTATTGGTCCGTAAGAGGAGAAACCGAAAGCAGCACCCAATCCGAGTATCCACACCTGAACATGAGAGATGAGACGTCAGAGTCTGATACACTGTGTGCCACATTGAAGAATATGTCAGAGCTTCATGTATGTTGAGTGTTAGATACCTTTGAGCTGTCCGCAGAGACTGTGACTCTGAACAGGTACATGGACGCAAACATTCCTGCCATCATGCAGATCAGGATGAAGTGGCGAGGATTGCCATAGATTCTCCTGCCTTGCTGTACAAAATAAAGAATTACATACATCTATTGGTTTTTCTGGCTGTACACAGAATCACTTTAACATCTACATTAGTTATCAACTAAAAAAGTTGACTGGTCAGTTTTTTAATTTATTTGATTTTTAGAGTTGATTGACTTGGATTGACGTAAAGACCAGGGCGTCCAGGACTAATAGGACAAACTGTTAGTTTGCAGTATGAACATTTGTGGATTGGTGGGGCATGACATGAACATGTGGATCCAGGATTTTTTAAACCTTATTTAACATGGTTATAATATGTTCATCTTAATGGAGGTCTACCCACTCTGAGCACCCTTCTAATTGAAGTTTACCAGTATTTCCTTTGTGCAGACACTGCCTCCATACTGGAAATGACACACTGTTGAAATGCCGCCAGTTCTGTTAAGTCTGTAATTTGACATTTCAAAGGCCAAAATGCATTTTGTGCTAAATTTATATTTCCTTCAGTGTGTATGGGAATATGTGGCAATTTTTGTTTGCTAAATGCTTCAATGCTCCATTTAAGTGCACAAAGCGGATCATTCAGGAAAAATCTGTAGAAGGGAAATGTTTGTGCAGCAGACTCCAATTTGCACAAGCAAACGATATTGATGATCCACAGAAAAAAACCCTTTGGAGCTGTCAGTGTGCTGTTATAATACCTGCCTCATTCCCCAAAATAAAACATAAACATGCAAAGGTGAAAAAAGGAAGATTGTGCCAATTTCTGGGACACAGCTCTTCTAACAATACGTCAAACATCATCCAGATGTTCACACTCACTTTGGCCACAGCCTTGTCAGAGAGGTAACCTGCGGCGAGACTTCCCAACAGACCTCCGACTTCCAGGGCGCTCATGTATGAGCTTCCTATGGAGAACAACACAGTGATTCACAGGAAATAATGAGCTGCTGCTCAACAAAGAGGAGGAGGAGTCTGTTCTATCCCTCTGTCTACCCATGAGTGTAGACTGGCCCTTGTCCTGGATGAGGAACAACTGGCCCCAGTCGGTGCAGGCCGTCTTCACCCCGAACACCACCAGGTACGACACAGACAGCAGCCACAGGTACGGGGACAGCAGGAACCCAGACAGGGTGCTCTCTTCACTCAAGGATTCTGAACAGGAAACACACAGAAAACAATATCATCATGGCTCTTGTGAACACGATGTCTCAATATTGCCAAGAGGTAATTTCTTAACATCTGGTACAAATGTTCAATTTCACTAAAAGATGAACTAAATAGAATTTAGTGGTCAAAGATCAAGGTCACTATGAGCTTACAAAACATGTTTTTGCTCTTTTGAATTTAACATGTCCGGAACGTCTTGAGGGAATTTATTCATATTTGTCACAAACGTTCACTCAAACTCAAGGATGAACTGATCCGATTTTGGGGGTCAAAGATCAGGGTCACCGTGACCTCACAAAACCCTTTTTCTTCCTCGTGAACACTTTATCTTCAGAACGCCACCAGACATCATGTTCACTCAGACTCACAGATTAACTGGTTACATTTTTGATGGTCAATGTCACAGTGGTTTCACAAATCATGTTTTTGGTCTCTTGAACTTAATCTCAATTCAGCCTGCAGGACATTTCTTAAAGTTTTGACCAGTTGTCTCTTGGAGTTAAAGATGAACTGATTATATTTCAGTGGTAAAAGGTCAAGATGACATCATATTACTGTGAAGGTACCTAGAGGGACTGAAACTGCACTGGTCGGCAGAGGCATATAACTGCAGGGCAGTAAATCTAGTTTTTCCTTGTATCTGAAACTTTACAAAACATGACATAATGGGTGTAACATAACATCCTTGTGTTCAGGGTGCAGGTGGGAGGGATCTCTACTTCTAGTCAGATCAACAGATGACACATCTAAAACCACACATGACACGTTCACACTTTTTCGGTGCATGAGCGAGACGCAGCTCACACAGGTGGCATGTGAGGGGCACTCTGGGTACGGAGTCCACCATGTCACCGACCTTTAGTCACAACAGGAGCACATGCTGTACACACACACACACGTCTGGGAAATGTAAACCGCACCTGATCCGGTCATTGTTTGAGAAGAGTGTTGACCACAGTTTGCTTCTGATTGTTATGAAACTGATGATTCTGTAAAAACTCAGTCTCACCTCCTTTGCTCTTCTTGGCTGCCACCTCGATGTTGGGCAGCCCCACATCCTTGGGCTCGTTCTTGATGACAAACAGGCAGACGAAGGAGACAGCCACACAAATCATCCCAGAGACGGACAGTATCGTCCTCCAGCTGTACGTCTGGGCCAGCACTGTGGCAATAATGGGTCCCAGGCTGCCAGCCAGATTCATGCTGCAGGAAAGAATGGCCCACCACGTCCCAAACTGAGAGGGCTCGAACCACTGACAGCAGACGAGAGGAAATAATTAAAGCTCTGACACAGTGTCACTATCTCAGCTTTGATATACAGAGGGAGGATACAATAATCCAAGCAGTGCAGGGTTGTGATCTGACAGCAAGTAATAACTGGATGAAAAGTCATTTCATGTTTCATGATGTGACAGGCTAGTCGGTGTTAGTGAGGTCAAGCAAGGTAAGGATGAACCTTTCAATCCTACTGTACATATTCCATTACACTGGTTTCATCATTTAGGCTCACATGCTCACGTGCTATTGAATATGGTTTTATTACAAAACCTAAAAAATATATTTTCTCAATTGACCTTTTAAAACAACCACAGGAAAATAGAAATAATAGAATATTAAAAAGCTGTGGGATTGTTATGTTGCCAGGCCTCTGTTGACTATGTTTGAATCACACAGTTGTGATGAGGCAGATTATCAGAGTGTTTAAGTTTTCACTTCTAAATTCCTGCAGGTTATTCCCACATCACGGATGGTGAACCAATATTTGCTGTTGAGCCTCAATGCTATGGAAGAGTTTACCTGTTGCGATCACACAGACAACATCAATGGTGTCTATTAAATCTCGTCTTAAAACATTTTCTTTATCACAAAGCTTTTATAAATGTTTGACCTATTTTGTGTTTTTTTCTTTCTATTTGGCATTGTATGACAAAATATATGGTATATAAATAAAGCTTATTGTTATAGAATGCATTACATCCAAATAATAAGTATGTTTCTTTCTAATCATTTACTTTGATTGTTGCTTATTTTGTTATGAATATTCAATGTTATAGAAAAAAGCAGTTTTAAAGAGAGGTACAATATGTTTGGGAGCATTTTGGTTTCAGGACTAATTGTTAAAATCTACCATTATGTCATAATTTCTTATTTAAACATATAACCTTCTAAATAATATAAATAAATGACATAAAAATGCAATCACTAAGTAATTGCTAAAGCTATATCTGTAGAACAGAATTCAGTATCAGTACAGTGCTGCATGATTTACTGTCATGCGGCTCACCTTGCGCAGCACCCTGCCGCAGGG